GCTTTTGTGTAACTATATTTTAAGAATATCGGTCTCTGTTTTTTCGTTTCTTTTTTGTTTGGTTTATTTTTATAGTCTATGAGGGGGATTAGGTATAGTAACGTTTTTTAATTGTCGAAAGGATATTGATACTTTTTAAGATGGCAAGGTTTATGAGGTTTATGTGTTGTAGAAAATTGGAAATCTTTAAGGTATTTATTTTCTTCAACAAAAAATCAAGTGTTGCCATATAATTAATATACGAACAATTAGATTAAAAAAACAGATAGCTATTATGTTTTTAGACATTTAACAGTGCCTTAGTAAGAATACAACCCACTGTGCGCCAAAATTAGATGCCTTATCTTTTCGTTGTTAAATTGTATCTTCTCAGAATATACCAAAACCAAAGAGCATGTAAACAAATCAGCAACAGAAACATTGCTAAGAAAAAGCTTCTATTGTGCTCAGTGACCTCAAACACCTAGAACAATATTTATGTACATATATCTATGTACTCTATGTACATTTATCTAATTAGAGGCGCCGCTGCTGACAGAGAGGCCAAAAGAGCAGAAGAAAAACGCAACACAAAAGCGAAAAGGTTAGGAAATAAAATTAAGTTAAACATTTTCTATTAGCGGATTTTATCGATTGATGGTTTACTACAAGCAATATGGCTGAAATCAATCAGTTTGCTGGATTGTTTATCAATCAGCTTTGAATCTTGGCCATAGTGCTTTTGAACAGATGTTGGAGGAAAGATAAGCAAACTGTCAGTTATTTCTTGGTAAATATTAATGCAATTTTACATAAACTAATTAATTTTTTTATGGATGGAATAGAAAAAAAACCTAATCTGTAAAACGTGATCAGTAGAAATACTTTTGCTTTGGAATCTTTTGATGTGATTTTAGCTAAATTCCAATATTTAATAATCAGATTTTGTTGGAAAATTTTCTTTGATTTACGGTTCAGTATTTTTAATAATTGTATTTCATGTTAGATGAAAGACCTTCCGCTCCCAACTAGAATCGAGAACTCAGCGGCCACCGCGACACTGGAAAACATTCACGATCAGTCGACACGCAAAATAACGTGATAGAGACGTTGAGAAAAACAAACACCGCCATTAATAAAAAAAATACGCTGCCCTTTCACTTGCTTCCTCCGTCATCCAAATCTCCAAGATATACAACAGGCCAAAGCTGTTGATTGTTTTATGCCACCGAAGATCAAAAGACAAACGACAAGTAGGCGTGAGTGGTGCGGTTTTTGGGATGTTAATTTAACGGATTTGATCTCTAAACTCAAATGATATAAAGAAAGAAAGGATAGACTGAAGTACCCCGAAGCGTTAAGTACCCTGTTTGGTGTATTGATAATCTTCCAATTGTGGACTTAAATACTTGAGGTTAATTTTGATTCAATTCTCATTGATTTATCTTCATTGTCAAATATTAATTTTTGGATTGAAAAAATTTATAGAGCTTAAGAAAATAAAGCCCAAGGGTAATAATTCCTTTTAAGAAACAAAAAATGACGATAAATAAAATACACATATTCTCAAACATTCCACACATTGCCTCAAATATGTCTGACCTAAATAATCACACCCTCAAACAACAGCGTAAAAAGAATTGTGATAAAAATGACAAAAAACTTTAAAAATAATAATTCGTAATTGTGTTAATCTAATCAAACGCGTATAAACTTTAATATAGAAATCCGGCTAAAGTGGTTAGCAACTTCTAGAAAAACGTTCAGGGGGATTCTTATAAGTTATTGTTTTATATTTTTACTTTCATTCTGGGCCAGCGGTCAAAGCGGTCAAAAGAAATGACAAGATAAAAAAAAATCCCAATGAGTTATATATCAAAAATGTATACCCCGGCAAAACAAAAACAAAAAAAAAAACAATTTTGCTGACTATAAAATATGTGAATGAGATACTTATATAAGAGATTTGCAAATTGCAACTCCATAAAATAAACCGAAGAATCCTGTTGAAAACAAATTAAACAGAAATTACCTAAAAATAAAGGCAGAACCAAAACAAAAAGCAAAATGAAACAAAACATAAATAAACCCACAACAAATAAAACGAAACGAAACCGATTTGCGAAAACCAGTTTTAGTCAGTTACAGAATTTAGGAGATTCATTCGGGGCACACTTTTCGCACATTTCCCCAAGAAACACGTGCCATAAGCATCATGAATCGGTGGGCGTGTGCCGCAATTTGGGGGCATCGACAAAATCATATCTATATATACCGAAGACCCCCAGATCAGTGGAAAATTTTCCATTCGTAATAAATAAAATTCCTCAATTTTTTTTGTTGGAAAAACATTTAGCCAATCGTACACAAGGATCATAAAAAATGCCTCTTGAATGAAAATTTATTTTCCCTCTTTGCCAATACATAATTTGGCATTAAATAGCAAAACAAAATCTTTTTCGACGTCAACGGCATGAAGAAATTGGGAAAATATTCTGTTTCCATTTGCTTGCGTAAGCAAAAATTTTGTTATTGCTAACAACAAATAAATTTTAAATTTTAAGCCATAAAGATCCGAATTTTGGGTTGCTATTTTGATATTTTTTGTTGTATAGTATCTGTTTTGGGAATGAGATGGCACGCGGCCAGTATGACAAAGAAAATTCCCCATAAACATAGAATATATTCAGGTTTAATTTTTTAAGGTGCAAATCTAGAAATTATTATTACACATTTCTTGCGTTTAAATCGAAACATTTAATGTATTTTATCTATATATTTAATGATTGGTACCTTTTATTGAGCCAATTTTCATGCTACCAGCAAGCCAGCTTCGAAATCATTTTGTAAAATATGTTCTTGATATAATGTTTTATTACATTTTTGTATAAACTTTAAATTTTTTTCCGTTCAAAATAAATTTTTGCATATAATTTGATGTCTATTTAAACATACAAAATTATATTCGATTAATAAAATCCAAGTCACGAACATCTTAATGCTTGTCATAAATTTAATCTTTTCAAGATAGCATCTAATGTTAATCACATGATCAGCAGATAATACAAATACAAAAAAAAAACACTTTTATTAAAAATCATCGAAAAAGTAAGCAACCGAAGAAAAAGCAAACAAGCACGAGAGTGATGAAAATATTGAATTTATTTTTAAACAAATTAATTGGCAACTGGCCAAGTGCCATAAAAACGTGAATGTTTTTATTTGTTTGCTTTTCCAACAGCGCGGGCCACAAAAATTCTATACTTTGGGTTCATTATGTTAAGCGAATATTCAGTACTTATAAAAGGAATATAGACAATATTGAAACTGCATATTTTGATTAACATTGTGATCACCACACGTCGCACATAAGATTTTTAATGGTATAAAGATTCCCTTTTATATAGATGGGGTTTATCCATATGGACATAATGCCACTGTACACAGATGCATTATATTGTAAATCAAACTCAAGGCCAATGTCGACTGTCGAGGGGGAGATACACTAATGGTTCGATTGGATTGGAATCGAAATTGCATTTATTTGCTTTCGCGTTTTGGCGTTCTGGCAGCAAGAGTGGTTAGCAAAGCTGAATATCAAAGGAAAATGAATACGTAAAATATTTCACTGTATAAAGGTATATATTTCAGCTCTTCCTCTTCAACAATCAATTAAATTGCAGCGTAAACAAATTATTTTTCAAGTACTAAAATGCAATTGCATTTAATGGGGTATTGAAATAAATCGATTTTGCCATTTGGCAATTTTCTCAAAGAATTTTTTTAGTCATAAGACGCATTAAATTTACCAATCTGTTAATAGAAAAATCTAGATTTTATTTTGCTTTTACTTGGGCTGTTTTAATATTTTTTCGGGAAGTTAAACCTTTTGTTTACACCCCATACCGAAATTCGTTGTAAAAATTATAAATGATTTGCAATTGATTTTTCCATGAAATTAAAGAAAAGAAAAATGAGTTCATTCCAATGGCAGAAGGAGAAGTGATTGAATTTATAACAACGAAATGTGTAAAACTATAAAGCCTATATTGTTTCCAAGATTTTAAAATTTATTTGTTTTTAAAATTGCTAACCTCTTTAACCCAAAAACATCACCATTTTTTTTACTATTTCATTTGCGTGCACAAATCATACGTAAATACTAGTATGTTTACACAGATTTTTTGCCTTAATTTAACAGGCCGTTGCCGTCGGGTTTTCTCAAAAAAATATAAATACATCTATTTCATTTCATTTCACGGTTGCGTGCTGTAATAGGCAACAAATATTCAGTGCTCAGAAAAAGTAAATATGCAAGCCCAGTTTTTAGCACTGTTCAATTCGGACACATTACATTTGATTATTTTTAAATACCTATAATTAATTAACTTTGGTGTTTACTTGCTGTTTTCGATCGACTTTTTTGGCCTGTTTATTGATTCTTGTATTCTATACCTAGCGAAATAAAAAGCAAACAAATACTCCTTCGCGAAACGCATAAATTAAAATTTCTCACTCAATGAAACATGTGCTTGGATTGGCCTGTAGATCATCTGATTTTCTTGTTTTTGTGTGGGAGGCACGTGAAAACTCATTAAAAGTTAGGACGCCTTTGAGTGATTTTACGTACGTACCTTATGATCATTAATAAACAGGTTCTGATTTTTATATGTAAGAATTTATTTTGTTTATATTCCCAATTATATTGTTCGCAATGAACACAAAAAACGAAACAAAATGATAAATATTTTTAATGAGAGGAAATGGAATTTATATGATAATTTTATCTCTCTTGAAATATATAAATATTTTTTCATATTACTTCTAGAATGTTCTAAACGATAAATAAATAAAGAACGGCATATAGCGTATGGTTGATTTAGATATATCGTAACAATATTGGGATTTTATTTTTTGGAACTCATGTTTTTAAGATTGTGTTTTGATAAATACCATATGTTAGCCCCCACGAAAACCTTCCCATAAATACTAAAAAATTATGTAAAGGCTTCACCACTCACCAGTTTGCTTTGGTAGATTGTAAAAGTCGAGGGTTTTGATCTCGGACGTCTCGACATGAGGGGCGAACCCCTCGTACAGGTCGCTCTCCTCCACGATGCCGCTCAACTTGTCGGCCTGGGAAGAGGCATCTCCGCCCCGATGGTATGGCATCTTCTTAGCCAGCTTTGCGGTCGTTCCGGCTGCTCTGTCAAGTTTTGATTTGGGTTTGCCTCCACTCGAGACCTCGCTTCACTCCAGGCAGTTGTTGGCGAATTTCCTTCGTTGTTTTCGTTTGACTAGATGGCTTTTTACTTTGCAGTGCTTTGCTTTCCGTTGTGTGGCAATCAATTTGCGAGCCTTGTTGGGGTTTTTGCGTATTATTATGATTATATTTATATTTAATTTGATTTAATTAGTGGCCAACTTATGGAGACAGAAATACTCCAATACGATGATGCCGCGCGGAATTCATTATAGTAAACGATTTAACACGAATACTGCAAAAGCATAGCTATGTGTGATAATCAAATCGCAAGTGCCGGCGCTTCCAAGTCTGCAATAAGATAAAAGTTGGGAATTTTGTTTATTATTTCTGTATTTATTTCGAGCTGCCCAAACAAACAACTGCAAGTCAATCAACATTAATCTGCTGGGCAAGATAGCTAAAGCATATGGAAACCAATCTTTCGAATCGAAATCGAAGTCGGTTCAATGACATGACCCATCCGAACTGTAGAGTAGATAATGCCAAAGGCGCCATTGGCCCATAAAATACTTGGCCCGCTCATTAATTGCGAGTCGGCTATAAAAAGCCAACTGGCCAGATTTATAATATACTTATATAAAATCGCACGCATATATGTATAAGACGTTTTTTCTGTTGAGGGTGACTCTACCAACAGCAGCCGGTTTCATATATAATTGAACCAAACAGAAATCGGAAAAAACAAAATATCCAGCGCAAATATTTCACTCGGCCATAAACAAGCGTATATACTTATATTATACAAAGAATTGCAAAGCAATTTATTTAAAAGATCATAAAAGTTTCATGGTTTTTTTAAATTGTATTTTATTGTATTTCAGTGAAACAAATAAAACATTTCTCAAAAATGTACGTCAATCCAAAAAAAAAACTTAATGGCATGCAATTCAATTGGGACATTCAAATATCTCTAACCCAATTTATCAATTATGGTAAAACGCCCTACCATATTTCCTAAATCACTTGAAGCCAACCAAACCCATTTAGCCTAATCAACCATGGCACACGCTGCGTATACTTGACATTCAACTGCTTTATTTTACTCTCTTCATTCATCTCACCGTCACGTTTGGAGGACTAAAGACCGGCTATTTATCTAAAGTGCTTTTCTCTCTACCAATTTCCCCCAGAAATAACACACATTTTTCGTTCTGTTTTCGTCACAATTCGCATGCCAAAGGAGCAGCAGAGCAAACTAAAAACTGAAATTGAATTGCAAATTTTTAACAAAATTCCGGGCACGCATTGAAAGCAACGGCAAAACACTTCTTGTGTTTTTATTTTCCATTTTCCTTTGACACTCTTAATGATTTCGCCTGTCAAGAACAGCATTTCAGGGGGGCTTTATGGGGGACTAAGAGGGTCCGACATCGGATAGAGAGACAGACAGGTCTGATAGATCGCTGCGTTTGCTTGATTGGCTGTCCGATAGAAGGTGTCGGACTTTTTACCTGGCCAGGAGGTGCGGGGGGAAACAGGTGCCGTCAAGCGGATTTAAGGCCCAGACAAGTTGTATCTATGGCAGCTTCAAAGCGAACTCAGATAAGAAAAGTTTGTCTGAAGTGTCTTATAATTAATATGGAATGAAGCAGAGATAGCCTTACAAAAATTTATAATTGAATTTACCTCCCTTATATACACACATCTCCAAAATAGTGTGCCAATTATCTATAAACATTGAATAGTGATAACATTAAAAGAAATTTATTTCGGAATCCCACAACACTATTCAAATGAATAATAATAATAATCAATAATATCTGAATTTTCATATCTCTTAGTTGAGTCAAACCACTATTTGGTTAATAATAATATTTAAATATAAAATTTACTTGGTAAAAAGCATTTAATGAGTCACTAAAAAATCAAAAATCTTTAAGGTAATAGAATTATGTCAACGAAAAAGAAGCATACATAGACTTATTCCATATTACTTAACAACCTCGCCGGAAAGCCTTTTTCAATTATTTATTAATTTGTTTTGTAAGCCACCAGGTAAGTGCTCTGCCCTTCCTCAGAACAAATAGCGGTGCACTTAAGCCGCGTTAATTGACCGAATAGTCCCATTTTATATCACTTCACTCAACTCGATTCAACCTGACTCGAATCGCTACGTTTTGATTGGTAATGTGCAATTTTCATATGTATGTCAATATTATGCTACGTCTAGTTTTTCAAGGTGCTTCGGGTTACGTCGTCAGCAACACGGCTTTACACAAATAGCGGCAACAGGTATCGCATGGACATGTATATAGAGTTATTAACAATCGTTTACACCGTAGTTGAGAGCTGCTTGTTTGTTTGTTGTTTGCTGCCTCCGAACTCGAGAACGTTATCTTAATGTTATAATGCACCCAATTTGCGCTAATGAAATCAAACGGAGCGCCACTCAATTGGATTCAATTGGACAGTTTACAATGACTAACTTAACTAAACTCAACTAAGCCTCGAGAAACACAAATGTTTCGGCATCGAATCGATTAACGCTCCCGGGGACCAGCAGCTAATTAAAACGTTTATGCTAATGAGGCGACACGCCGTCATGTCGGTGTCGCGAGATGTCAGCCAAAAGCTGGGAAAATCGACAAAAAAAGTTGTATGAAAATGCTTAAATGCCCGAGGTTAAATGAGCCAAAAATTGAAAAAGTTTAGTCCAGTACGTTTAAAATAGAGAGTAAATATAATTATACGTTCTTATCTATATTCACTACAAATTTATATATAAGTATGCTAAACGTTTAACATTACTCATCAATAAAAGGGATAAGGATTTATTTATGATGATTTATCATAAAATGTATTTTTTATTTTCTTAGTTATTTTTATTTTGTACTTCATTTTATGATAGTAAATAGTTAATAATAACTCAAAAATCTTTAAGAACCTAGTAACTATATGTCCAAAGATCGAAAGGAAGGCAATTAGAGACAACAATAAATACTCATTTGTAATCAGCTAAGCAGGTACCAAACATTTTCGATGTTAATCGTTGGCAACAATGGGTTAATCACCGATTGCCAGACCCGAGGCCTAAGTAATGCCGCAACTATTATGTGGGCTGGTGGGTGGTTAAAGTGACGCAAGTGCAACAATCGGTGGGTCAAGTCGAGACTCAATTCGATTCGATTCGAGTCTCAACACGTAATTCTCGGTGCAATTTGCGTCAGTTAGCGAAGAGGAAAAACTTTTGAGGTTTCCAAGTAATTTTCCACTACGCCAAAGTTCAACGAAGTTATTAGTTTTTTTTTGTGTTATGACGACGAGGAAAACTAAAGTTAATCCCTGCTTGATAAGTGTGGGGACCTGTTAGTTTGCCGAAGAGCAATACTCGGTAAATACTTGGAAATCAAATAGTAGATAAGGAAATCAATAAGAGTTGTTAAAAATAATTGGATAATGTCCTTAATCACGCTTCGAATAAAAAAGTTAAGAAAGAATCTTTCAATGTCTAAAACCCATAAAAATAATATTTTTGTTAGTAGAGTAGTTTTACAAAGGTAATTTTATTTCTGTCAAAGTTGTCAAGAAGCCATTTATTTTCTTTTTAATTAACATTCAAATAAGTGACATTTTGGAAATAACTAGGTCGCCTTGTTGGGGCTCAAGGCAAGTCAAGTAAAGGTAAGTACCTCCCACACCCACTTGAGGGGTATTTGCATACGATATGAGAGGGGGCGTGTTGAATGGTAGGCGTACTTTTAAGCCGCACCTGAGGAACCTTTCGAAGCGATGCTAAAACGTTTTCTAACTAGGCCAAGCAGCTGTCAGTATTCTACACGAAAAATCCTCGAATGCCTTGAGAGTTCAGTGACTTGAGCCAGGTCCTTTGGCACACCCCTGACCACCTTAAACACCACAAAGTCCTTGACAACCCCATTTCCTCTCAATGAAACTGTGTCAATTTCAGCTAAAAACGGGGGAAAGAGCTGGCATTGAACAAGCCGAAAATTATTTGCTCTTGCTATTGTAACTTATCTAGTTAGGGCCGTTTTCCCAGTGTCATGTTAATTTTTGACATTGAGTTTAACTGCTGTTCCGGAAAGATATATCTTCTCAATGACTTGTTAGAACTAGCTCATAACTCTTAGATTGAATCCAGTTCTTGTCAAATTATGGGAGTCGGCAAAAACAAAAAAAATTTACAAAAAAAAGTTCGCCAACTTTATTTCAGGTTTTGAGGAACGAATTTCTTACCGATGTGTGAGAAAACAGAACCCGTTAAGATTTATCGTTCGAAAAATTAACGTCAAATTAAGAGAGCGAATTTGTCTTTTCGACTAATTTTATTTCATGTTAACTTTCCCTTGCAGATAATAAACTAGAACCCGAACACAACATTGAGAAATCAGATCTAATAAACTATTTAAATAAGAGTCGATATCTTCAACTTCCCTTGGAATTAGAGTTAAGGAGTCAAATAAGTTCCATTATATATGGGCCTAGTTACGAATAATACCCTTTCAAAGGGTATATTAAAAGGGAATACAAAAAGAGCGGATTCGAATAGCCAAAAAGGAAGCAAACAGGCAAAAGGGAATGAAATATAGGGAGGGGAACCAGTCGAAAAGGGAGGTGGAATTATGCCATCGCTCGGTTCAGTAAGTTCTTAAAGTACAGAAAATGTGGGGCAACGCAAAGCTTATTGTGTGGGTGTGTGCGTGCGCTGTTATACACATATACATATGTATGTAGTGGTGTCTTATTTTATTTATTCTTGTGTGGGTGTGACAGGACACTTTGCGTCAGCAGCAGCAGCAGACCGAAAAATAACAACAAAGATAGAATTGCGTAGTGGCAACTTGAACTGGGTGTGTACTAAGCTTATTGAGGGGGCGAGAATCAGCGAAGAGAGGGAGAAATGGAAAAAGGGAAGAGAGAGTAAGAGAGCGGAAGGAGGGACCCACAATCAATGAATGAAAGTACCAACGCACGCACGAGCAAGTGAGAGGGTGAGAGGAGGTCCAGGACAACGGAAAACCAGGACCTGCAAATAGATTTTCTAATATAGTTAGTGAAACCCTGTAATCCAATCTTGACAAAATATTGAAATTTTCTAAACTTGGAAGGAAATTGAAGACGCAAAGCCAAGGCGAAAGCATAAATTGATTAAAGCGAAGTATTGAAAAATACAATAAAATAAAAAGTTGCTTTATAGGAAATAGGGTTTCAAATAAAATGGTGAACGAAATAGCCATCAACAAATTTATAAAATGTTTGGATTTTACCGAAAATTTAGTGAATTAAATAAAGAAAGTCAGTTATTCAAGCGGAGTATATTTAGGTAAAAT